GATTGAGGTAGATTTGCTTCTACAGAGGAGGGTTTTATTTGTGTGGATGCGGACAGAGGCAATTTCGAGTAGCATGGTGTCAAGGGGTATGCGTTATGGGATATGGGATACAAAAGAAGCAGTAGTAGAACATCTGTCCACATAACCAGCTTCCAATCTATCCATACTGACCGTGGCCTCCGTACCGTTACGGTCAGCGACAAATTACTTGTGATGCCACTTCAGTAGACTATTCTACGTGGGGGAGGCATAGGGTGTACTTTATTGACTGCAGATGCGACATCATCAACTGTAGCTAGCACAAACACTGAGGGAGTAAGAAAAATATGAGGGTAAATGTGAGGGGTTCAATTCGGTTGGAGCCACTACAAGGGGGATGGAGGATTGTTTGGCACAAGTGACACATGAGACTGGATGCGCAGTGCATGATGCATGAAGAAGGGTGAACTGCTGTGGAGGTAGTGGTGGTAGCAGTAGTAGTAGAAGTAGTGGTAGGGGGAAAGTTGATGCAATGGGCAACATGAATGATGGAGAGGAGAGGTGGATAGCAAAAGGTCAGGTTAGAGGGAAGGCAGGAGACACTGTCTTCCACCGTGGAGAGGATTCCAATTAGACGGATGGACGGCAGCTCGTTACGGTGTACTGTACAGGTGTCCAAGTTTGAGCAGAAGAAATGCGTTTACTTGAGGATGAATGCACTGGAGAAGGCAAAGTCATCGTCGGTGTTGGGTTGGTAAGCAGTCGTGCTTACCCATCCGCCTGCAGGTGATGAATGTAGAATTGGGAAGGAGGCAGTGGTGAGGTGCAAGCTGCTGTTGGTGGTACTGCGAGGAGGGATGCATTGGATTGGGACTCGGAGTCGTCTAGTGGTCAGTGGTTGGTCGGACGACTGTCGGTGCAGTCGGTACACGTGGGTGCATACTTCATGGGGTTGCTTGAAGCTGAGGTGTAAAGTGGTGAGGTGGATGCAAGTGAACGAGGAGGTGAATGTTTAGGACTCAAAAGATGAGGAGGAGGAGGAGGAGGAGGAGGAGGAGGAGGAGGAAGAGGAGGAGGACAACTACGTGGACGAGGAAGAGGAGTGGGATGGGCCATCAGGGTGGATGCGTTGGAAAAGTGAGTTGGGAAGGAGAGTGTATTATGGGTAGATGTATTGTGCAGATGCAATTCACCCCCTTGATCACGGCATCCAGAAGCCTTTTCATTACCGTGCATCCTTCCGCACAATGAAGCAGATGAGTCTGTTGGAGGCGAGCTTCGAAGTGGTGGTAGGGTGGGAGTGAAACAGCAAATGGCAATGTGCACAGACGCGGTTGAGTCAAAATGGCGAACGGTTTGCCAGTGGAAATGTTGCAAGCAATAGTGGTGTGGCTGTGGAAGAATGTGAACTCACCGAATGCAAGCGAGAAGGGTGTTGGTTCGCCTTGTTGAGATGAGGATTGGAAAGTTGAGGAAAGCTGAGGTGGGACCTCCACATGGAGAGATTTGTAGAGACCTGGTGTGTGTCTATACCGTAAAAGGCTGAACTTCAAGGAGGTGCCTCAATTTCCTAACAGCGAGACGGCCTGCCAATAGTTCACTTCCAAATTTTCGGATTCTTTGTATTACTTGGAAGTGTTGGTTGAGAAAATTGGGAGGAGTGGAGGTGGGAAAAATAGGTGTCAGTCAGAAAAAGTTTGTGATGACCTTTTGTCATCCTGCACCTGCAAAATGTTGTGAGCAGTATGGATGTGCAGCAATTATGATGAATCCGCAATGACTGTTTGGAAAGTTCGAGGATCATGGCTATCTCATCACTGAGTTGCAACTTCTGAGTGGCTTTCATTTCTTCCATCTCTTAGCTCCTACTGTTTGTTCTCAATCTCCTGCCAACTCAGTTGATGACCTCTTACACCGACTGGTTCATCTTTCATATTTCTTTGGTACCGCAGAAAACCATCATAATTATTGAAAATAGAGGGTCTTTATAAAGGTGTTGCATCTGGTTGAGGTACTGTGCAGTAACACATTCTTTCCAACTGCTTACCAAACTCTGGAGTCGATTTTGCAGCTTTGAACTAAGTGCAGACAGGCTGCTGCTAGTTTAAATAATAGGGATGAAGAGGCGGGGATTCACTGTAAAAGCGGTGACAGACACGAAGCACTTTCAAATCACTCAAGTCGTATATCAAATGCAGTGGCTACTGTACTGAGCTACGTGACGGTACTGGATGAAGAAAAGGTCCCCGCCCTCCATTATGATTTAGGTAACAGAGAGGAGGTGTGAAATTCGGAATAAGCGAAATATTCACTGCTGCCACCAATTAACATCAGCACCGATGAACACACTTTCCTTCTTCGTTAATTCGAAACCCTTCAAGAAGTGGGAGCTGGATCACCAAGACCCAACCATCTTGCCACTCTGATAGAGCACAAGTTGTCACCAACTGTGTTTCTTCCAGTTCCTTATCTCCACTTCTTTTTCATCAAATGTGACATCTGCTTGTGTGACGTGTAAGGTCAGTTATGAAACGTGGTGTTTGGCAACCCCTTGGCGCAGCTAGCGCCCTAGTTAAGATACTACAAATAAGGTGGCCCTTTGTTTGAATGACTCGTATTTCTCCTTCCTCTTCTCCGGACATTTGCGCTTTCATTTGGACTTCCACCTCCAGTCAGTGCATTTAAATGTGTTCACCTCTTTCACCACCTACATCCCAAAGCCAGTGCGAATGTCAAGGACTGAATAGGACGAAGTGACTACTACCAGTAGGTCAGTAGAGTAGTGCCTCTACTCATTGAAAGTTGTTGAATCTCTAGGAGAAATTTCAAAACGGGAAGAGATGCTGCCAAAGGAAATTGGTGGAACGATGGTTTTGATGAAATGTATGGTACTGATCAGAGCTTATTCTGTCTTCGGTGATTTGACCTCCAAGACAGTGTTATGAAGCTCGTCTACTCCTTTGTTTCATGACGTTTTCGGAGGTGAAATGGTATCAGTCGGTCGGCCATATTTGACCGACGAGATTTCACAGCCATCACAGCCACGTTCTCGTAGATAGTCGGAAACAGTGGATGCTGTCGAGGCAGTTTAGACATAGATTTGGAGCCCATGACCCCTCGCTGAATAAAATCCGGTGTTTACTGAGGCCGATCAAACGAGCATGTGTGGTGTCTGGTGAGGCGAGGGAGTGGCCACGCAGTGAAGAAAAGGCTCAACACAGCATGCTACGTTGGTCAGTGATTGGGTAGCAAGAGGATTTCTTCTGGCTAAGGACTCTCAACCACTCGTGAGGCTGGTGATGGTCATGCGGGAGACAAGCAAGAGCTGAATCAAAGTCAGTAGATGATAAAAAATGCCAAGTTGAAGGTCATTAGTAAAGTAGGGAAGCAGTAAATTCATAGGAGGAGATCGGTTAACCACATAGGCTCGTATTTGTGGGTCAGTCATACCACCAGCCATCAAACGCTTTGAAATCCGGTCGGCAGATGGTACCACACGTCCATATCATACCGCATGTCATATCCATGGCTACCTAATCAAAGGGATTCGTAAGTCCACCACAAAGCACAAATCTCCATATCGAATAGGCAACGCAAATTTCTACACAGCAGCCATGGTAAATGCCGCCCCAACAGTACACTTAACACTCACCTCTCCGTTCATCTACTCTAGCACCTTGAGATAGAGCGAATGCAATCCCATCAGAGGAAAGAATATGTCCAACAGAATGGGAGAATTTTTATCCTGATGCGCTGAGTCACTACACTATATTTGACAGGAATCCCGACGAGAACGACATACTCTTCAGTCTCGGGACGTCCAGAAACAGCGAAATTAATGACTTCTTTTCAGCTCGTCTCGTTAAAGTAAATCCATCTAGTTGGGCAAGGCCTTTTATCCATCTAACATCATTGCTGATGGAAGCGTCAGTTCCCGAAGCGGTGTGTCAGAGCTGCAAGTTACTTCCAAACTCTTTGCCAAGATCACTTGACCACACACTTTGACGGCAGCTGTCAAGACCAATTGAAGGTGGTTTTAAAGAAGGAGAGTTCATCGTTCACTTCTCCTATTTGGTGTGATTGAAGTGCTGAGTTGTGTCCGCTAAGGTGGATATCGTGCGCTCTGAGGTCACTTGTAAAATACCACTCTTGATAATCATGGAAGTATCACTTAATTGTAGAGATTTGGGCCTATGAATTCCTCAACGTAGGAACTGAAAAGCATTCAAGTGTTGCACAATGTCAAGACAGAAGGCTGGTTGACAACAAAAACCCCTTCGCTGTCTGATCCTTGCCTAATTTCGACCCCACTTAGTTTCAACACCAGTTGAAAGGTTTGAAGCAGATCCCTCCCTATCTCTTCACTTTTTCAGCCAATGACAGAGGAGAGGTGGGATGGAGTAGATAGTGGATATAAGAAGTGATGCTGAGGGGCTGGTGAATCGGTCGGCCGCCACTACCTGCCACCGTCGCCACCTCCATCACTCTATCCGTTGCCGTCTGTTTGGCGATTTCCTACTCGTTCACCTCTCAGGTGGTGCTTCTCCACCTGGACGACGCCAAGTTCAAAGTGGTACAGCCTTTCACCATCATTCGTGCACTCGGGGATAAAAACAATCAGAATGCTCACTTAATCAAGGAATGTGAGGAGTTGCTTATACAGCGTAAAGCTGCTGCGCTACTCATCCGCTCTACAAATTATCAGGACTAAGTAGACACACCGCGTGTCAATTCCTGCACTCCTGGCACAGTCGAATACGCCGTTTGCGAAGTGATCAGACAGACTCCAGAGTAAAAAATTCGACAAGGGTTTACATCCATCATATTTGGGGGTAATCAAAAGCTCCTTATAAGTTAAAGGGAGAATTCAGGAAATTCGTGAACCATGAGGCTGGAAAATGAGTCAACTGAAGGATGTGAGGGGGATAATGCAGCTGTGTTCACCTCGTAGATCTTCAGGCGCCACGAAAGGATTTGAACTATTTCTTTTGCACTACACAGCGACATAATCACAGGTAGATTAGGATCGGAAATTGAAAATAAATTTTGGTAAAGACACGTTAACTCCCCTTTCGTGGATCGTTGGGAAACGATAAACCTGTCTAGGTCGTTCGAGTCTGGTATCGCTTCGGCAACTAACAGCCTTCCTGTAGAACACGGGATCGCAGTAAAAGCCAATTCTTATACCTCTACTAGGTGTCCTCGCAGATTCAGCCATGCGTGAGAGATGTCTCCTCCCGCCACAGAAATCCCTGTGAGTGGAACCCACTTGCCGCTGTTTCATCGTATAGGCAAAAGAAAAATAGTACAGAGAAGAAAAATTTGATGCCCCTTTTAGCGGAGACACATTGACGTGTAGCCATACCCTCATCCATCCGCCTGTTAATCCACCCAGTCACTGCTGTTTTGTCCCATCCATCTAACCACCAATAGCTCCACCTCGCCAACCAGCAATACACCCACACCGGACCCATTTATCCATCCATCAATCCACACCGTCAATTCATCTATCCAACCACATACACAATGGCACGAAAATCCAATTTCACGTAACGATTTGTAACATATTTCTTCCCTACAATATTTCCCAATAAGCCAGAAAACGGCATTCAGGAAATAAATGGCAAGAAGGAGGGGGAGGAAAAACACTGGTCTTCATCAACAAACAAGTTTGCGCAGAAACTTGCCCACCGCCTTTTCATCACGTTTCCATTGCTCCACATTGATTTTCACCGACTCTAGCGTCTGTTGAATCACCCGTAGACAGGGCACTTCGTGCTCTTCATAGAAGGCCTGGAAGGGTGGAAAGGGTGTGCAGGAGTAAGCATTTGTCGAAGCCTAGAAGTGAGAACATTCAAAAGGGAGGCGACACTCACCTTAATCTCGTCGTAGCGCGCCTGTGAGGCAAAGTCGGAAGCACTACCCTAAAGATGGGAAAGGAAGAAAAAGCGACTCATTAGGGTTAGCAGGATTAAAGTTTCTGCGTATCTGCTGATACCACAATGGACAATGAAACCTTACAGATGCTCGGCACAACCGGAATCCAGAATCCAGTCATCGACTAATCCACACATAATGGTTCACACGCCTCAGGAGGACCCGAGCACAACGCATCAACAGAGCACCACCCTTCCATTCACACGCCCCAGATCCGGCCATTCTTGTCAAACCAACACAAGTTGGATTATTCAACCTGCGCCCAAGTCTTCCACCCTTCCACCCACTACTCAATGCACCTATTATTACTGCACTGCTACATTCAGAATCTCAGAGTTTGGGACGACAACAACAACAACAGCAACAACCTAATCTCACCACCTTGAACGCACGACCCGGACAGAACAGAAAATCGGCCAGCAGAATAATTCATCCAGTCAACTGCCTTCCACGTGGTTCTAATAATACAGTAACCACACGAAGATGAAGTGCAAATTCGCAGTGAGAAGAGGAAACCAACCTTACAGGACAGGAGTGGCATCCACGTGCATCGCCCAATGATGGAGGCAACAGCAACGTTAACAACAGAAGCAAAACGACAAATGAGGAAAAAGGGAGTACACAATCGAATTTAAACACATGCTCTGGGCTTGCTTCCGATTTATCCTTCTCCAAGGTGATTAACCCTGACGCCTTGCACCTTACAAAACTTTGACACTAATGGGTCTGGGATAGCCTAACCCAGCCGTCCCTCTGCGACAGGCGGTAGTCCTTCACTCCACGGCTAGACTTCATCCAATCGTCCGTACTCGTCACTCCTGGAAGTTAGAGCACTCTTCAAGACAGTTAAGTTTGCCACACTAAAGGCACTGAAGCGAGTTCCTGACCTGAGTACTCTCCCCTTTTTGCGAGGTCGAGCTAGTTACTGGCATAGACATCTGGTCGAGATTTGTAAAGCATTACAACAGCACCTCCACAGCTAATGAATCTTGTCGGTTCATCGAAAGTCGGATCGCGTCCATCTCCATAATGGAACAAGCACCTCTAAAGCACCCATTCTTCAGCTGATACGGCAATTTCTAAAAAATCGCATTTAGAGTCGAACAGCTGTTTTGGTCATAATGATAGCTGAGCTGTTACCGTGTGGCTGGACATGGTTCTACTTTGTCGGCAAGTTTGATCAGAGGTCTTACATCAGGGGACTTAGAACCTGATCCATCCATCCATCCATCCATTTGCCAATGCGAGTTTTGGCGACAATACACGGTTCTCTAAAACGCTGCTTTACTATCTGAAGTACCTCTAGCCGTTCTTCTAGAGGCCTAAGGACCACGCAACGTTAAACGGTTTTGACAGTCTCCTATTCGCAAGTCGAAGTGGCATTAGTCCTGCAGACTCACACCATCTTCTACGTACGTGGTTGCAATCGTGTGGAGGTTGCGAACGAGGCCAAGATAATTCACACAATCACCACTTAATTTTGGCAACCAAGGAGCGGTGAGTTCCGTGCAAGGCTGGAAGAGCTGGATGGTTTCGAAGACATCACAAAACCTTTGGGATTCATTCGCACGGATGCCAATTGTGGATTACTCGAAAGATATCCAGCCAAGAGAGAAGG